GCCCCCCCTCCTCCAGCATCCCCCGGCAGGGCCCGGAGGGTGGCGGGGGTCTCCACCGGTGCTGCCGTGCCCCCCGGACACCCGATGGGGCTGGGGCTGCCCGTGGGTGTCTGATCTCCCCCTCTCTGGCAGGAGGCCTACGTGGAGTACCTGAAGAGCATCACCCTCATCGCCCAGGCCCTGCAGGAGGAGGCGGCAGCAGGGACAGGTGGGTCAGGACCCCCGGCCACCCCCCTCACCCCCCCATCTCCATGCCGGTGGGTCACCGGGGTGGGTGCCCTGTGGGGTGAGCCTGACACCCTGCCCCTCCCCGCAGACGGCAGCGAGGGGGTCACCCCCGACACTCCCAAGATGCTGAAGCTGGCGGAGCAGTGCCTGGAGAGAGTCAAGTCCATCGCCGCGGCGCTGGGTGAGCGAGGGGCTGTGGGGACCCGCCTCGGGGTCCCGAGGACAAAAGCAGTGGCAGAACAGGGCGGGGGGGGCACAGCTGACCTGTCCTTGTCCTTCCCTCCCCAGGGAAAACCCAGCCAAAACCGGCCACGCAGGAGCGGAGTGGGGGCCCCGCTCCCCTCCCCAGGCACCGCCGGGTCTTCTCGGATGAAGGGGGGAAGCTCTCGCCCTTCCTGCCGCCGGAGATCTTCCAGAAGCTGCAGATCGCCGAGGCTCAGAGCGCACGGAAGTATGTGGGCTCGGACGTGGGGTGGGGGCACTGACATCTGCCCCGCTCTGCCGGGGTCCTCCAGGGGGTTCCCAGCAAGGGAAGGGGTCCCTGGTGGCGTCACCGTGCCCTGTGGTGGGTACTGAGGGCTGGTTCCCAGCAGGGAGCTGACGCCGCTGGAGGAGGCATCTCTGCAGAACCAGAAGCTGAAGGCTGCCTACGAGGCACGGGTGGCACGGCTGAACCCCAACCAGGCCCTGCAGAAGACCTCCTTGGCAAGTGGGGAGCCCGGCTGGGTGGGAGGGGAAGGTGTCCCTGCGGTGCCTTGGTGGGACCCCCTGCTCCACGCCTGGCACACTGGTGGCCGGGGGCTTTGGGTGGGCATCCCCAATAAACTGCCTGCTTTACAGACGCTGTCCCTGCAGCGACAGATGATGGAGAACCTGGTGATCGCCAAAGCCCGGGAGGAGACTGTATCCTTCACAGTGGGGGAGAGCTCTGAGGGCCAGCCCCACGGCCGTGCCAGGCTCCGGCAGAGCCCTGTGGCTCCCAGCCCCACACGCTGCTGCAGGTGCCTGTGCCCTGTCCCTGGGCTGCACTGATCCCACCGGGTTCTGGGGTCCTGCTCCTGTCCTGCTGGTTGGGGGGATGGAGGTGGGAGAAGGGCTGATCCCGGGCTGCCGGGGCTGTGCCGGGGCGGTGGGCGAGCAGGGCTGGCTGGGTGCCACGGTGGTGACAGGGGCTCTTGGAGCCTTAACTCTGCCGTGGCCCAGCTGCAGCGGAAAATGGAGGAGCGGCGGCTGCGGCTGCAGGAGGCTGCCAACAGGTGAGGGGGGATGTCACAGCAGGGGACTATGGGGCCACCATGGAAGGTGGCTTCATGCCAGACCGTTGCATCCCCAGGAGGTTCTCCAGCAGCGTGGCCCTCACCCCTGAGGAGCAGGAGCAGAGAGCCCTCTACGCCGCCATCCTTGAGTATGAGCAGGACCATGTGAGTACACCCCGGAGGCTGCTGCTGTGGGTGCCGTGGGGCAGAGGACCGTGCCGTGGGTGCAGGATGCTTGCTGTCCTTGGCTGATGTGGGGTGAGAGGCCTTGACACCCCTGGGTGCTGCTGGGGCAGGGTGCTGTGCTGTCCTCAGGCATCGCGGGGGCAGGGTGCCATGCTGTGGGTCAGGGTGCCGTGCCGTGGGGCAGGGTGCCGTGCCATCCCCACTGACCAGCCACGGCCACTCCCCAGGACTGGCCGCGGCAGTGGAAGGCCAGGCTGAAGCGGAGCCCGACGGACCTCTCCCTGGTGTCGGGGCTCTTCTCCTGCCTCCTCAGGTAGCGCTGGGGTGGGCAAGGGTCCTGCTCAGGGCATGGGGGCCGTGGCCGCTTGCCGGTGCCCCCTGCCCACCCCTTCCTCTGCTTCCAGCTTCCCCGATCACCCCATCGCCCAGCTCCTGCGGCAGCTGCAGTGTGCGGTGTACACCCGCCTCTACCCGGCCGTCAGCCAGGGCGCCTCCGACGCCCCCCCCGCCTCCCCCACTGGCCTCTCCTTCCTCTCGCTGGACGCGGGGGGCTCACTCCCCTCCGAGCCGGGGGGCCGCCGCCTCCGAGCCTCCCGCAGCCTCCACTGCATGTTCTCAGTGCCCGAGCACGGCCCGGCCGGGCTGCGGCACAGCCTGTCCAGCACGCCCCTCGCCGACGGTGGCCCCGGCACCCCAAACGTGGGGGTGGCAGCAGCAGCCCCCCAGACCCCCCGGGAGAGCTCCTTCGAGGACCTGGAGCGGTTCCTGGCATCTCCTGAGGGCTGGGCTCCCGGGGAGCCCCCGGCCGGCCCTGGGCAGGAGGCGACGCTGCCGGAGCAGCTGAAGGGCATCGTGCGGGACATCCACAACGCCATCGGTGAGGGATGGCCGCCGGGGTCGGGGTGGGGGGGAAGGGGCCCCCTACACCCCGTTATTTTAGCCGGGGTGGTCTCGGGGTGCAGGGTGGGGAGGATGGGGGATGTCTCACAGGCGCCCCTGAGCGTGCTGTGTAACTTGTCCCTTCCCAGACAGGCTGCTGTCCCTCACGCTGCTGGCCTTCGAGGGGCTGAACACCGCCGCCGGCAAGGACCAGTGCCTGGCCTGCCTGGAGGAGGCCTTCTTCCCCCCGCTCTGGGCACCGCTGCTGGCCCTCTACAGGTACCGCAGCCCCGGGGACGGGCTCCCCGCCACCCCCGCCCCGACTCCCCCCCTGCCTGGCACCCCCTCTCCTCTCTGCCTGCACAGGAGCGTGCATCGGCCCCGCGAGGCGGCCCTGGCCCGCAGCATGGAGCGGCACCGCCACGCCGGCCCCGCCGACATGGGGCTGTCCTCCCGCCTCTTCCCCCCGGCCCCCGGCTGCCCCGCGTACGGCTCCGCCATCGAGGACCTGCGCCTCATCCCGCTGGAGACCTGTCCCCGCAGGAAGCTGGAGTGCATCGGTGCGTGGCCTGGGGGTGAGGGGGGGACATCCAGGATGGCAGGGGGGTCCGGGGGGGATGGCGGGGTGACCCTCAGCGCCTGCTCTGTGCCGCAGTGCGAGCCCTGCGTGCCATCTGCGAGTGTGCCGAGGAGTACTGCGGCGCCCGGGACAGACGGACCCCCGCCTCCGCCGCCATGTGAGTATGGGGGGGGTCAGCCAGCCCCCCCACCCCCACCCCAACATCCAGGGCCGTGATGGGGAGCAGGGTGCTCGCCCCTCCTGCTCTCAGGGTGCAGGAGTGGGGCCGGCGGTTCCTGGTGCCGGTGTGGCTGACGGTTCCCTTTGGTGGCAGCGGGGCAGATGACCTGCTGCCCATCCTGTCCTACGTGGTGCTGCAGACGGGGCTGCCCCAGCTGCTGTCCGAGTGCGCCGCCATGGAGGAGTTCATCCACGAGGGGTAGGAGCCCAGGGGGGTGTGATGGGACACGCGGGGCAGGGGTACTGTTCCCCGTCTTGGGACAGGGCTGCTGGGGCTGGAGGTGTGGGGAGGGGAGCTGGGTGGGAGCTGTGGCTCTTGTGGGTGCAGGGCTGCGATGGTGTCCCAGCTGTGACGGTGTGGTGGCTGTGGTGGTGTGGCCATGGAGTGTCCCAGCCATGATGGTGTGGTGGCCATGGTGGTGTCCTTGCTGTGACAGTGTGACGGTGGTGGTGATGGTGTCCTGGCTGTGGCTGTGTCCTGGATATAACAGTGATGGTGTAGTGGCCATAGTAGTGCTGTGTCCAGTGTGGTGACCATGGTGGTGTGGCCATGAAGTGTCCCAGCCACAACAGTGTGGTGGCCGTGGTGGTGTCCTTGCTGTGACAGTGCAGTGGTGGTGGTGATGGTGTCCTGGCTGTGGCCATGCCCTGGATAGAGAGGTGATGTCCATAGTAGTGTTGTGTCCATGGCAGCGTCCCACTGTGGCAGTGTGGTAGCCATGGTGGTGTGGGTGGTGGCTATGGCGGTGTCTCGGCTGTGACGGTGTGGTGGCCGTGGTGGTGTGGTTGTGGCAGTGTCCCAGCCATGATGGTGTGGTGGCCGTGGTGGTGTCCTTGCTATGACAGTGCATGGTGGTGATGGTGTCCTGGCTGTGGCCATGCCCTGGATAGAGAGGTGATGTCCATAGTAGTGTTGTGTCCATGGCAGCGTCCCACTGTGGCAGTGTGGTAGCCATGGTGGTGTGGGTGGTGGCTATGGCGGTGTCTCGGCTGTGACGGTGTGGTGGCCGTGGTGGTGTGGTTGTGGCAGTGTCCCAGCCATGATGGTGTGGTGGCCGTGGTGGTGTCCTTGCTATGACAGTGCAGTGATGGTGTCCTGGCTGTGGCCATGTCCTGGCTATAGCAGTGATGTCCACAGTAGCGTTGCATCCATGGCAGCATCCCGCTGTGGCGGTGTGGTGGCCATGACGGTGTGGTGGCTGTGGTGGTGTCCTTGCTGTGACAGTGTGGTGGTGGTGATGGTGTCCTGGTTGTGGCCATGTAGTGTGTCCGTGGTGGCAGCATCCCGCTGTGGCAGGGTGGTGGCCATGGCGGTGTGGGTGGCTGTTGGCAGTGACAGTGTCCCAGCCATGATGGTGTGGTGGCCGTGGCAGTGTGGGTGGTGGCCGTGGCGGTCTCGGCTGTGACAGTGTGGCGGTGGCAGTGGCACTGTGCGTTGCAGGTACCTGATCGGGGAGGAGGGGTACTGCCTGACGTCCCTGCAGAGCGCCCTGTCCTACGTGGAGTCCCTGCAGTGAGGAGGCGGCACGGGGG